AAATTTATGTTTATATATACTTTGCACATCAGGGGTAGGCAACCTTGGTACTCCAACTGTGGTCGAACTAAAAAAAACACCATGCCTGTGCCTCTGGGAGTCATGCCTGTGGCTGTCAGAGTGCAATGCCTCATGGGACCAATATTGCCTACCATGATGTAGATCAGGGATAGGCAAACTCCTACAAATCCCATGAGGCATTGCAAGATAGTAACAGCCACAGGCATGACTCCAAGAGGCAGATGCATGATGGGATATGTATTTTCACAACAGCTGGAGGGGCGGAGTTTGCCCGCCCCTGATGTAGATCATACAACCACTTACAGTATATTGCTGTGTACCTAACCATTTACTATACAAAGCATTATGTTTTGCATTTTGTATATGGAATATTAATTTTCTTCTCTACTTTATTTTTATCTAGCTAGTGAATTAGCAGCTACGTTTGAGCGTATGATGACAATAGTTGAGACGGAAATTACGGAAGAATATGCAGTGTACATATGTCACAGACACAAACACTGTCCCCAGCTTTTCATCAGGGAAGCCAGGTAACACCACCATGTCCGTTGAACAGAGAGAGAGAGCATAGAGGGTTAGCTGGGCAAAACTCCAAAAGTGGATTGATATTGAATATCTTTGTGTGTAAGGAAGACAGCGTTTATTCATTTATTTGTACTCATGCAAGATTAAAGAATCATACATGAGATTCTTTAAACAAATGTATTAACCCTTGCAGTGGAGCTAAATCTATACTGCTGCAAGGGTTAACTTCTCGTTTGTATCTAGGTACTAAAAAAAAAAAAAGTTATACTCACCTGATCCTAGGAGCCGGCTTGTTCTTAGAGCCTTTCTCCCCCTCTTCTGCAATGGTCTAAGGCTGGGTTCACACCTGGGCGTTTTTCAGCGCTGATCGAAGCGCTGAAAACCGCTCAAGAAGTGAATCCCTATGGGCATTGTTCCCACCTGGGCGTATTTCAGCGCGATTTGTCGCTCTGAAAAACACCCTATGCGCGAAAAAGTACTTTGAGCTTCTTTTTTCATATGTAGGGGCCGATTTCAGCGCGTATCCATTGGTATTCCCGAGTGTGGCTCGGGGTTAACAAAGCGGTAACCCAGAGCCACACTTGGGAATACAGCGTAGGTCTTACCTTGTCCGCAATCCCTGCTGTGTCCTCCGGCCGCTGCTGTCTTCCGGGTTCCGTCCCTTGTGAGCGTCCACGTCGCAGGGAGGCGGATCCGGCGGGAAGTTTAAAAGTAAAAAAACGAAAAAAAGATAGAGAAAAAAAAAATCATACCGCCAGGGAGGTTAAGAAACGAGCAGCGAACGCGCGTTTTCATTGGACTAAAAAACGTGCTAAAAAAACGCGCATAAAACGCGCCTATTAGGAACACCCAGGTGTGAACCCAGCCTAAGAGTCCTTGTGTCATCATGTTCTATACAAGTATATACAGGTGAGGTAGTAGAGGAGAAGGCAGGCTTCAGTGACCGGAGAAGCAGCGAGTCTGCTCGGCAATTCCAGTGAGTATAACTTTTTTTTTAGCACCTAGACAAAAACGAGCAACTAACCCTTGCAATGCAGGGGTAGCCCCACTGCAAGGGTTAATACAGCTTTTCTTTAAATTGTGAGCATTAATCACACATACCTGTCACCATTACTTTTAACCTGACCTGTTGGTTTCAGTTTTGTTTCTTAGTCTGATTTAAAGTTCTGCTAAGGCTACGTTCAAACTATCAGGGTTATTCACAAAAGGGTGAAGAGTTTGGAGAAGGCAGGAGAAGTGAACAATCTAGAACAACATAGCTGATGTGGAAAGTGAGCTGAATTGAAGAATTTTTTTCAAATCAGCTATGTTGTCCTAGATTGTTCACTTCTCCTGCCTTCTCCAAACTCTTTACTCTTTAGTGAATAACTCTGTATATGCTTTTCTTGTGCCAGAAAAAAACAAGTCACTGCTAGGACACATAGAAGACAATTGATTTCTAAGTGCCCCACCTACACCACAAAGCTGGTGTGATGTGCGGTGCACATGCTGTATTTTTTCACAGTGTACTGGATAGCAGTGGTCCACCGGATCTCATATAGACACTTACCTATGGGCTAGTGTGAACGAGCCCTTAGTAAAGTGCTGCTATTTTAGATTGTAAGCGCTCACGGGCAGGGTCCTCCTAGCTATCTTGTCTTGATTTGTATTGTAACTGTAATGTCTTCTTTATATTGTAAAGCGCTGCACAAACTGTTGGCGCTATATAAATCCTGTATAATAATAATAACAATAATCATCAGGACCCTCGATTAGTCATTCCAATGTGTAAAACTACCTCTCGCCACTAGAGGTCACTGTAGCTCATACAATTTGGAAGTGTAAGCGTAAGAGCCCGCAGTTTACTTAAATACATTTCCATAGAATTTTAAGTCTGCGACAGAACACCACATTTTGATAGAATATAGTAATGTTTACATCCGTCTCTGAGTTCATTACACTTCTTGGAAACAACACAATTAACACAATTCAGGTTGTAAAGTAATTTCTGATTTTTAACATGCAAAGATATTCATTTATTAGGGTAAGATCTATTGATAGGAATGGTAAGAAAACATAGGGGAGAACGATCGTGTTCATTATTACGTACAGAAAACCCATGTGTTAGTGATATGGGAAACAGCAGATATTCATTGTATCACTTCCTCACAAAACCAGAACACAAAGGGTTTATTTCTAGTAGATGAAGACATGACAATCACTCATATTTCCCGAAAGTCATCTGCAAACCAAGAGCTGCTAAGTGTTTTATAGTTTTACTCTTTTATGTAGTGCTATTGAATAATTGAATTTTAATATTATAGCAAATTATATACATTGTTCTCTGCCCCAATCTGAGCTTAGATTCTAATGACCGCAGTCATATGCGTATAGTTCTATAATGGGGTAATTTTAGGTGAAAGGCAATTAACTGATATGTTTATGAATTCAAGAAGGACAGGAAAGCTTTCCTGGAAGCTAAACTCTGTGAGGGAAAAAGATTTACACTTGCACTTGGTCACCCTCCCCACTGCAAGGGTTAACTGCTCATTTTGCCCAGGGGATGATGAATAAGGTGCTATCCTTCCCTTATTCCCTGCGCCTGCAGGCTACCTCCTCTACGTGCAACTGTTTCCCCAGTCACAGCTTTCTGACATCTTTCTGTACAATGCAGGACTAGCACTCCTGCATTGTAAAGGAGAACACCCCTGTTCTAGAGTGTCAATCAGTGGAAGAGTGCACTGGCTGCCGAAGGTGTCGGGAATAAGTATGTCACCTTATTCATCATCTCCAAGGCAAAACAAGTGGTTGACCCCTGCGGTGGAGAGGGGGACCCACTGCAAAGGTACATTTTTTTCCCCTGGAATTCCACTGTAGACAAAACTTTTTATTTTGCTTTTGGATAGAATGGGAAGAGTTTATTGTAGGAAATCTCTCCAGCAGGGACACAGACCAAAAGAGTAAAGAAAGGTTAGAACCTCTGATGATGTTTTTATTGCTCTAGAACAGGGCTAGGCAAACTCCAGCCCTCCAGCTCTGGTGAAACTACAAATCTTATAATGCCTCTGACTCTGGTAATCTTGCCTGTAACTGTCAGTCGTGCAATGCTTCATGGGCTTTGTAGTTCCACAACAGCTGGAGGGCCAGAGTTTGCCCACCCCGGCTCAAGAGAAAAATTACAAACAGCTAAGTGAGCAGGCCAGACCACACAAACTTTCAGTTTTTATCTGCTATTTGAGGCTCTGTCATGTCTTGGTGACAACGGTTTTACCAGATAGAAAATAAGGGTAAATGAGGACAACGGGCACAGACAGAAATAAAAATCTGTAAAAAGCGGTAAAGGCCCCACAACCAATGGCTAAAGAGGAAAAAAAATGTTTTATTAGATAATCTGTGGAATAAAAGAGCAAGTGTGTTTCAGTGGTTCAGACTCTCTGTCATCAGGGCTTATGACTGATGTAACCTCAAAAATGGCTGCACTCAATTAGATTGTGATAATAGTTGTATGTATGAAAATACTGATCTGATTTGTTACATAGCACACTGCACAAACTGCTGGTGATAGGATCTGATTATATACATACAGCTATTATCACAATCCAGTTTAGCAATTTTTTGAAGTTACATAATACAAAAGCCCTGAGGAAGGTCTTTGATTAATTGCTATGTTGTCGTGCCAAAAAGAAGACTGTATTTTAAATTCTTACCAACTGTATTTGTTTCTTTAGGGTAGAAGATCATGATGACCTGATGCCAATCTTCATACGTCACAATGATACCTTAGAAGCTACCTATGGAGAATATTTCCTTGCAGAATTAATCAAAGCTCAAGATGAACAAAACCGTGCTGTCATCTGTGAGGTCAGCTTGATTATTGTAATATTTAGATCTATCATTTTCTTATGAACCATATTCTAAAAGGTGGAATGTACCTAAAACTACCTTTCCTGTAGTTGTGCTATATTAAGGGAGGTTGGCCATCCTAGGTTTGCTAACATAGCTACCGCAATATTTGAATCTGGCATCACTTACATTTTATAATGTCCACGTCAGTAAATTAGCGGCCTCCTGGAAATAATGTCCAGTCACTCCTGCAGGAAATTGGTAACAACATGATTACTTTTACCTTTCTTCAATGTCGGCAGTGAGATGGACATATCACTGTATGTCGGTGACATGGGGCAGAGAGTAGTGGGATCAGGTCCAGCAAAATTTAGGTAAACCTGTCACAAATCTTGCTATTTGCCAAATCTTGCCAAAAGTAGATGTAAATGCTCACTGAATGACATTTAATTTGCTAAAGCATTGTGTATTATAAATAGCTGCCATTTTTTTCTTCTTTTTCATTCTTTGTTGCATCTCAGTGCTGCTGACCTCCTTCAACCTCCTTGCAACCACTTCATGTCTGCATGCACTCCAGCAATGTAGTGGATGGTGCTGATATAATGTGTGTTCATTCGGCCACTTGTAGTTTTCATTGGAAACACATGTAACAGGGTGACAACGCAGGAGCACAATTGATAGTCAGGGAAAGAGCGTTGTAAGCCTGTAGCAAAGAGTGCATCAACAATGATCTTCATGGCAGGATCAGCAGGTTTTATTTTCATGTAAGCTGCAGTTTTAAAAAATGACTTTTGAAATCACATTAACCTGTTAAAGCTTATATGAGATTTAGGTGATTGTGTTTACATATACTGTAAGCCAAAGATGCCAAATGAATGCATTTTCCAGCAGAATTCAATTGAACAATCCCCATATGGCTTCATCTGGAGCAGACAAATTTCTAAAACTGGGAGTTTCTCCTGGGTTAGGGAGTTTTTATGTGCTAGTTGTACCTTGGTAGAATGCTCGTACCGAGTGTCTAATTTTGCCAATAAAGTACTCTGCTGAACAGGAGTTGGCACTTTAAGTGTATCTAAACCCAAGAACAAAAAATGTATGTATTGTAGCTTATCAGTCCTTAGATATAGTGGTTGCATTTGGTTCTTTTTTTTGCAGACTTGTTAACATGCATTAACTTTAACAACCACATATCAGAGTGTAATAGGAAACAGGAGCTCAGCCCCAAAAATCTGTCTCACCCTATCAGGTGAAGGCATTGTCCCTACTATACTCCCACTCCAGGCCCCCTTATGGTGCTGGTTGTGGTTTTTTATGCTCTATTTGCACCTAAGATGGTAGCTGCAATCTCACGGGAATCCAGTGCCCATGTAAGTCATACATTTCCCAAAGATGGTCCTTGGAACAATACACACATGTCCCTGCCAAGGTTCCCTTTAGTCGCAGCCTCAGCAACACTAGATGGATCAACGTGAGAGGGACATAGCAGGAGACACCTGACCACTCCATCATCCCAGTACAAAGAAGCAAGGACTTAGCTTTTTGTGAAGCAAGCCAAACAAAGAAATGGCCACTGACACAGCCTGACTGTACTTTTCGGCAGCAAGCACAGGCCACCTCTGGACCTGGTAACTGCAGGGAAAGGGTGTCGGCACAGAACTTGATCAGGTTTACATGAAATGAACCTGTTGCCAGGCCAGGGACTTTTAAATATTTACATGTGCATAACAACCAGTGTAGTTTTAGCTCTATGTTTTTTTCACTCCTAATAGTGACTTCTTAGCCATATGTGTTTGGCATTTTGTTTTGGAGCTAATTATAACTAACAATGAGTCATTAGCGTAATAGCTTACTGCAAACAGCAACACAATAAATAATAGATTCATGTCACAAGCTTCCATATCTGGAATGGGCAGAAAAAGACATTTTCAGTAATAACAATAGATCCTCACCACCACTGTTGTAAATTGGATAGATTAGGCCAAGTGAGCCAAAGCTGATGCCAGTTTTTCCTGCCGAGTATAAAGCTGGCAAGTCCTCTTTTCACATATGGTAGATAGATTGGTTAATCAGCCTTTGCTGAGAGTTGGCCCCCAAATTACAAAATAGCCAAAGAACTGCTACACCCCAGCCTTTGTTCAAATACTCAGACAAAAAACACCAGTCTGTCTTTCAGAAGACAGAGACGTCAGGTCAACATTATTCACCTGGATCCCACTTTTGATTTATTATGGTAACCAGTATGGTAATCATGGTATGGTTACTCGTTTGGGTTATAACAATATTTAATAGCATAAATATGGGAAAGAATTTCACAGATTTTTACTATTGACCATTATTGTCAGATTGTTAGTACATTTCAATATGTTCCTGTGGCCAAAAGACGGCCAATTATAAGAGTAGGCCAGTCATATTCCTAAGAAAAAAATGACATTATTGCAGCGTGTGCTTCATGTTGATGATGTCACAAATGTTGAACTCCGAGGTTGCATTTATAGGCTGTATATATTGTATTTGCTATATGTGTATTCTTGTTTACTATAAAATGGGCGTGAGCTTTAACAGAATCCGTAGCCTATGAATTTGCACCATACCCAATGAGAAACTATAACAAAGTTGTGGTAAGGTGGGTCAAAGGGAAGCAAAAATCCTTTCCCTAAACCATTGCAAAACACAACAGAGCCTTCTTAAAACAGAAGCTATATACATGACTTACTTCTATTATTAGGTTTATTCTTCATTTTAACATAGTTGGTGGAGCCATGAAAAAAAATCCTTTATGCCCATGGGCCAAATATACATCTAGAACTGCTGATTCCTTGACTTATACCACACATACAGCCTAATATATAGAACTGTGTATTCAAAACTGTACATCCTGTTGGCCATCCTCATTTCAGTTCATGGATTGGGATTTTTGATGGAAGCGAGACATGTACATACCTTTGGTATTAAGAAGGTTCTACTGTGCATTACACTTGTCTAGTGAAGGGTTTCTTGGTTCCTTTTTGCCCGCCTCACCACAACCTCACTGGTTATACTTTCTCCTTGTTTCCCAAGGCCTAACCCTTTAGTAGCCATTCCATGAATTACACTTATGCTAGCCAACAAGCCAGAAACATCAGTATGCAGTTTGGTATCAAGGGCTCTATAATATTAGGTTGTTCCTGTACTATAAGCCATCAGTTCTGCATGTACAGTTAACCATGGAGCATAAAGTAATGATTTGTGAGGCAACATGCAGTATCCTAAAATAAGTAATAAACTTAAAGTAACACTAAACTTAGGAGATAAATCTTAAAAACACATTTAAGTAACCTAAGTATTAGCACAAATGTATCTTATTTATGTATCACTGGGCTGTAGATCCTCAAATCATCTCTGAATTGGTGGTGGCACTGTCCTTCCTTCTGGAGGGTGGCTACTTTTGTTCCCTATGTGTTGTAAAGTATCCACCACTCCAAGCACACTCCAGTGATGGACTACAGTCTCATGTTTAGTTTACTAGCTTGTATTGAGATTGTAGTCCATCACGGGAGCAAGCTTGGAGCGATGGATACTTTACAACACACACAGGGAATATGGGGAACAAATAGCCACCCTCCAGAAGGAAGGACAGTGTCAGCACCAATTCAGAGAAGATTTGAGGATGATTTGAGGATCTGTGGCCGAATGATACACAAATAAGGTACATTTTTCTTTATAGATCAGGAATGCATTTTTAAGGTTTAACGCCTGAATTTGGTGTCACTTTAAAACGTAATAAGACTGTTGTTTTGGGGATTTGTGATAGAAATGAAACAGTATGAGGGTATGAGATAGTATGTAAATACTGTCTGCTTTGAGAAGGCTTTACTGTGTCTTCTCCACAGTGGCTCTATTGTGCTTTACAGTACCCAATAAACTTTTATTCCTGGGGTAGTGACCTGAGATTGTCTGTTGTAATCCACTCACTGCATGAATACAAATTAAACTAGTACATTTACAGGTATCTGCATCAGGCATCTAGAGTCTATGGTAATATTAAAGCAAATCTGTGAAAATGAAAATAAACTGTACAGATCAACAGTGGCAGCACGCGTATTTGCATGCTCACATGGTCACGTCCACAAGGTCTTATATATTTTCTATAAATATTACCTAATGCCTATCTACATTTCTATAACACCCATTGCATATAAAAATGCTAGACTGTCATTACAACTGTCCCGGTACAAGTATGCAGATCAGGAAAAGTCAGAGTAAAGTGAGAACTCTTTTTACATCTTCTAGGTCATTCACTTATTGAAACAAGATGGTCAGCGTGACCACTAGAAAACTAGCATTCACAGAATGAGAACTGAGAAATGGCAGCCTCCGTGTTTCAAACAGGAGACATTTCCTTGAAAATTCGAATGCACTCAAAACTGATTTATAAGTATTTGTTAAAACCAATATATTTTATCTCTTAAAGACTCAATTACAACGCGTTCTGCACCCAAATTTCCAGCTCTGCTCACCTGCAAAAAAACATTATGTGTGGTTTCACTCTTACTGCTGAACATTTAATTCTTAATATCTCATGAATACGTACATTAAAAGGAAGATTTCCCATGGGAACAGCTACCAGTTGAAGTCTGTAAAAGATACACAAAGTAATATGTGATTCAGCCAAGATTTACCCATAACTGAAATATCAATTTTGGATACACTGACCATTTGTAGAACAGATGGGGATGCTCTGGAGTTAGACTTAAAGGGGCAGTCCGCATCTAATATTGCATTTATAAACAGAGTCTGTTGAGATGAGTTGCCTGCTAGCTGTTGGTATATTTCCATGCCTTAGTTCCTGCCCTCCGTTCAGTATTTCAACTGATCCTGTCCATCTTTATAAAATAAATGAAAACTTCAAATTCATTAGGTGAAAAGGGGACAAACCCCTCAATTGCAGCTACGGTGGACTGGGAACTGTCAGGGGATCTTCAAGAATTCTCTTAGGTGGTGTAACACTGCAGCATTTACGAAAGATGAAATGATCAGTTTTAGGTTAAATTACCCTTTCATTTAAAAGAAAAGTAATTATTCTACCATAACAGCTACCCTCCACATATATTAGGAATGTTCAGATACCAATTCAGATACCGGTGCCGATACTTGGCATTTTCACGAGAACTACCAGCGTTGCAGCCGTTGCAGCTGGAACCTGGCTCTGGCACTCCACCACTGTCCTGAAATCATTAGTCTGTATTGTTTTAGAAAAATTGTCACATGACAATAAAGAAAAAGGTATCAATACTTTTATCCATAAGTACCTGGACAAGTATCAGTACTTGTACCTAAAAAAATGGTATCGGTGCATCCTTATATATAAGGATATACAATAAAACAGAGATGTACAAATCCCAGGAGCTCCGTATGCTCCTTAAAAATGACAGCTGCCTCCTAACTTTTTAATTTTTCTCTAGTCTAGTCTTGGAGCTGGAAAAGTATCTGTACATGTACTTGTAACGAGTACGGTACTTGGTATCTGAACATCCCTAACGCATGTATACTGTATATGGCCTTATTTTGTAATCCCTTCAGTTGTTTTGGCTTTTCAGTGTGTAGAAACTGTAAATTCATGAAGTTAGCATAAGTATTTCTACTGTAAAAGCTGTAATCATGGAGAAATACTCTGCAACATTACCTTATACTGGTCAACCAAGTCTAATGACATGATGAAATGAAAATATAATATGTCCTAGTAGGTAGAATTAACAACATTCCTCTTATTGATTCTTTCTGTAGGATCAAGGAACTGCTGTGGGTTTTATGAGTGTGAGTTGTGAGGTCAACGTCCAGTTGCTGCAAGATTCCTTTGACCTGGGACCTTTCCATGGTCTCTGCAAGCCACACCCCGACGATGTTCTTCAGGAAAAGGAGGAAACAGCCGCAGAGAACGGTATGAATGTATCTACTAGTCTTAAAGTTGAACTCCAGGCAATGGAGCTCTGTATTCATTAATAGATCATTAGATGTATTTAATGATACCTAAATTTGACCCGGTATCAGACTCTTACAATCGCCTGTACAGCAGCATTCACACTGGGGGAGGAAAAAGCAGCACAAGGAGACAGTCAGGTATGCTTTAGTGCAAGAAGCGTACTGATAGGAGGAAACAGCAGAGTGGCAGGTAGATGACCTCACTAATGCTCTGTCACTGTCCAGTCACAGGGTGGGGAGGGATAAGACCTGTAAGTGTTTCTTAACTACAAGAGAAAAAAATCAGGTCTTGCTTGACAAGACTTTGCAAGACAGGGCAGTGCTGTAGGCGTTTAAATCTTGGGACCAAATTAAGAGAAATACAAATCCTTTGGCCAGTTAAACAGTTCTTACATATGTATTTCAACTGAATGTTTAGCTGTTTGCCGCAGCTTTAATCTCCATGTGGGGTTGGTATAGTTTCTTAATAGATTTTATAGTAGAGTAATGGCACTGAGCCACTGACAGCTCCCTCTAGTGGCTAATCTACAAATCTCTATATTTAATTTGATTACAAATACATGGAAGTAAAGGTTTAAAAAAAGGGGGCAATTCATATAAAAATGACCATTAGTATTGCTAGTAAAGCTGAAAATGTGCAAACTGAAAATATACTACTTTCCCTTTAATAATAGTATAATTCTTGCGTAGCCTGGGCATTACTGACAAGCTTCCTGATGGCACAGGACATGTGCATGTACAGCCCTATTATAGTGAAAAAGTATTAAAATCTGAGCAGGCTTATTTGTAACACTGAGACTGATGAGTTTTAATAAGAGGCTTCAACTCAACCTTTTATGGGATTTGTGTGTTTTACTCCCAATTTCTGTTAGATGTTTAGAAAAGGATGCCGGCATTGTAGTGAAAAGAAAAAAGCATTGGCAATGCTTAGCATTGATATTGTGCAGCTGGTGCTTGCTAGAGATGGGTGATTAGTGTTGGCATAGATGCTTAAGCACTAGTGAAGTGCAGCTGGGCTTGGGCGTAGTGGCGCCATGTGATGTGAAGGATAGGTTTAATACAAAAACATGGAAGCAGTCAAAAAGAAAGTCCAGGCCAACTATTTAAATTACCCCTTCTTAAAAATGTGATTTACAAATAATGTAAATAGGTCCGGTGTTTATTCTTCCTCTTATCCTGAAGCTTACATGTTAGAAGTGGACATTCCCTGCACATTCATCTGAAAAATACATAGCCAGCTTTACAAAACACAGGTATAGTAGAATAATCACTTGATCATTTAACATTTTCGTTGATGATGTTGGTTAAGTGCCTAAGTATGAAGTCAGTCATATCTATATACATGTGCATATGAATACTATCAGACTTTAGGCTGTAGGCCTCTCAGGTTAAGCTCTAAGCTCTAAATAAAGTCTGTAAACCACGGGTCCCTAAACGTTCTAAACCAAAGGCCAGATTAGTGTCCCTAAGATGTTAGGGTGGGCGAGACTGTAGCCACTAGGAATAGAAAATGCCCCAGCACCAGTGGGAGTAAACAATGCCACAGGCTCGGTGGTCAGTGGGAGTAAAAAATTGACCTAGTGCCTGTGTTCAGTGAGTTGACAAATAATGCCCCATTGTTTATGTCAGTGGGAGGAATAGTGCCCCATCATTGGTTTCAGTGGAAGAAGTAGTGCCCCATGATTTGTATCAGTGGGAAGGATAGTGCCCCATCATTGGTATCATTGGGAAGAATAGAGCCCCATAATTGGTGTCAATGGAAGAAGTAGTGCCCCATAATTTGTGTCAGTGGGAAGGATAGTGCCTCATCATTTGTGTCAGTGGGAAGGATAGTGCCTCATCATTGGTGTCAGTGGGAAGGATAGTGCCCCATCATTTTTGTCAGTGGGAAGGATAGTGCCTCATCATTTATGTCAGTGGGAAGGATAGTAAAAGCTTCATTTATTGAAGTTTATTGTCATATGACCCACAAGCGCTTTCGGGTCCCTTCATCAGGCTTTAGCATTGACAAATGGACCCTGTGTGGTCCTGAAAGCGCTTGTTTGTCATATGACAAAAAACTTCAATAAATTAAGCTTTTGCTATCCTAAAAGGACTGGTGTGCTGGTGACATTTCTACAATTTTGCTGACATTCGCGGCGCCACCCGCAGTCAGTGCGAGCACCCCCCACTACAAGGGACATATCGGTAAGGAGCGCGACAAGGATAGTACTTATAGTGGGAAGGATAGTGCCACATCATTGGTGTCAATGGAAGAAATAATGCCACTTCTTTGTGTCAGTAGGAACAATAGTGTCCCATTGTTGGTGTCAGTGGGAGGAATTGTGCCCCATTGTTGGTATCAGTGGAAGAAGTAGTGCCTTATCATTTGTCTCAGTGGGAAGGATAGTGCCCCATCATTGGTGTCAATGGAAGAAATAATGCCACTTCTTTGTGTCAGGGGAAGGATAGTGTCTCATTGTTGGTGTCAGTGAGAGGAATTGTGCCCCATTGTTGGTGTCAGTGGGAAAGATAGTGCCCCATCATTGGGGTCAGTGGAAAAATAATGCCACATCATTTTTGTCAGTGGGAAGGATAGTGTCTCATTGTTGGTGTCAGTGGGAAGGATAGTGTCTCATTGTTGGTGTCAGTGGGGAAGATAGTGCCCCATCATTGGTGTCGGTGAAAGAAATAATACCCCATCATTTGTGTCAGTGGGAAGGATAGTGCTGGCCATGCTGAATCGGCGGAATTTGAGCTGTGGGTGGCCCTGTCAGCACCACCCACCTTGACAGGAACCAGGGTGCAGTCACTGTTTGTGTATTACAGAATACAATAGATGGCAGAGGAGATTCCTCCATCTATGTTCTTTCCCGTGGATAGGAGAATCTTGTGATTTTTCTTGTTCAGCATGCAGGGCCAAACAAGAAATATCTTATGATATACGACCAGTTGCTATCACCAAGGGTCATGTTAGTTTAGATTTACTTCTTAAAATCTACAGACACATGAAGCAGGCACTAAACTGTGTGATTAGATTAACAGTAAAGGCATCCCAGCCTACCTAGCTTCTGAGCTTTGATCAAAACTGTTTGTCAGGAATCAGCTGGGATAACATTTAGCTACATTGATACCTGGGATGCCTTTTATTCTAAAGGTTCTTCTAAAGGTTCTTACACTTCTACTTGTTTCATTTGCATTTATTTTTCTACATGATTCCTAACACCACATATGTGCTGTAAAGGAAACATCTTGTTATGGCATTTCATGTGTTTAGCATAGTAATTTGCTTGTTATCCTAGAATTAAACTCCAGGATAACAACTAGAAACCTACTTGAAATATATATCTGTGATCTGACTTACCTGCCAAAACAATTATTACTCTGTTCAGATGGTCTTATTATCCAAGTGTGGTCTCACTATTTAAAGCCGAAGTTGCATACTTGTTGTTGTCACTATGTCACCCAGAAGAAGGGGCCCTGCGTGGACCCGAAACGTTGGCTGTATGACGCATGTGACAATTTAATAAAAAGTGCTTTACTTCTTGCACATATCGAGTGCTGGTGACTTCTATTATGGTCTTATTATCCAGGCACCCCAGCCAGACAGCTCAGCCTTGTCTGTGACTTTACATATTTCCACTACAATTAAGCGGTGGAGTCAACTGAGGTCTCTTACAAGGCAGTGCTGTCTAGGTTTGTCGATGGCTCAGCCCTAGTCTTCTGTCACCAATCTGCCAGTGTTAGGGTGACAGCATTTTGCAATGTACTTTACAATTTGCACAGAGAATTGCTTAATATAGTTCAGTCTTTGGTGGTCAACTGACATTTCACTGTTGAACTGTCAGGGACCATAGCACCTCCAGGTGGCGCCGGAACCAGGTCCTGCGGTTCCTACCCACACCTGCAGGTGTTTTCAGGCAGCCAGGAGCTGTTAGGTACCAGACCACCACTGGGTTGTGCTGGAATCTGCAACTCCCGTACTCCCCTGCAGGTGTCTCCCAGCTGTCAGCGATTTATTCACCACCTGGTGCTACCTGGGAGGGTACTTAATCCCTCCCTGCAGTCAGGACTGTGGCTCAGTATTGTTGCCATGTTCTGAGTCCTGTTACCTCCTTGTTCCTCTACCTTGACCCTTGGCTCCCCTTGTGGTTCTATGCTCACTGCTTATGTTTTCATTTAGTTAGTTACTATTACTTGTTTGTGGTTACTTGTGGGTGTTGGTGGGGTTATTTGTGTTATGTTTGGGTGTGTATAATAAACGATATATAAGCTCAGTGGCAGTTTCTGGTGTGGTTACGTATTTGGTCCTCCCGTGTGGGTACCTGCATGCGGTGTGAGGACACCAGTGCACGGTACCCTGACATGAACTTACCCTAGCTTAATATACTCTTATCTTTTAGAGATTGCAGTAGTGAGACTCCCTGCAACAACTTTGCCTGTTATTGAAAGCCATAACATTGGTGTCTCTTTTGCAGAGAAACTTCCTATGTATTATTATTATTATTTATTTTACATTATTGGCAATTCCTTAGGGGAACATGACACTGTCATTCGGCTTTGTAATGGCTGTGACAATTGGGAAGAACTGGGAACGCTGATTAGTAGATCAGGGCACAAAGTCCCCAAACAATATAAAACAATATAAAAAGCTAACGTGATTACCTTTGGCAGCAACTACACAAAATAGAAAGAATTTCCCTTGATGGGCAGGCAGGGGGAAATTATGAATCTGGCAATGGTAAATACTGTCTTATTACCATGAAGTTTATTTTTTGCCCAAACTGAAAAGTTTATATTACTTGTTGCCGTGAGAAGCATAATAGGAATTATTTGTAGTCCATTACAGGTCAACAGACACACGTAGTCAGCTTTTGAGGACAGTGTCACGTACCTGAGATGAGACTGTAGTAGTGAGTAGGCCTCCCTTGCACCTCGTGTCTTGAGGCCTCCGGGGATGGATACAGAGACCTGGCGGAC